GAGTCTTCTACTTTATGCTAATGTACACAGGAAGCAACATTCTCCCGATCACCAGATTCCTCAAGATGACGCATATGAAGCAGGGATTCCGCAGTGAAGAGGTAAATCATAATATATTCAATGGCTGGATCTTAATATCATTTTTCTTTTCAGACCTCTCAATCCGGCATCATGCACCGCAGCATCCTTGGCCAGCTGCTACCCGAGGCTATGGTATGTTTCCTAGAGAACTACAGCGCAGAGAAGTTTGCAGAGATCTTCCTCGGCGAGTTCGATACTCCCGAGGTAATATGGAGTTCAGAGATGCGACGCCTTCTCATAGAAAAGATCGCCGCCCATATCGCGGACTTTACGCCTCGACTTCGCGGCCACACAATGGCGAGGTATCCGTACTTGGCCATTCCAGTGATCAGCTATCCGCAGCTGGAGAATGAGCTCTTTTGTCACATCTACTACCTGCGTCACCTGTGCGACACCCAAAAGTTCCCCAACTGGCCCATCTCAGATCCAGTGCAACTGCTTAAGCACACCCTCGACGCCTGGCGCAAGGAGGTGGAGAAGAAGCCCCCTCAGATGACCATTCAACAGGCCTACCAGGATTTGGGCATCGACCTCACCAAGACTCCTAAGCCGGACGAGTCCATGATTCGCAAGAGCTATTATAAGCTTGCGCAGATGTATCATCCTGACAAGAATCCCAATGGGCGCGAGATATTCGAGAAAGTTAATCAGGTGCGTAAATTAATTAATTAATGAAATATTCGATTGTACACTACAGCGATTCTTCCATTTAGGCGTATGAGTTCCTTTGCTCGCGAAACGTGTGGAGCTCAGGTGGGCCAGATCCAAATAATATTGTGCTTATACTTCGCACACAGAGCATCCTTTTTGAGCGCTATCCGGATGGTAAGTGTTTAGCAAATGTTCGATGTTTCAAGTTCATAATTTATTGTTCACAGTTTTGCGACCCTACAAATATGCTGGCTACCCACAGCTCATTAAGACCATTCGCCTGGAGACCCGGGATGATGAGCTCTTCTCAAAGGAGGCCCAACTCCTGACAGCTGCCTCTGAGCTGTGTTACCACACAGTTCATTGTTCCGCCCTAAACGCTGAAGAACTGCGAAGGGAGGAGGGTATTGAGGCGCTGCTCGAGGCCTACACCCGCTGCGTGTCCATTTTGGGGGTGGATTCCAAGCCGGACTCGCTGCACTACCAGGTCATATCGAACGTGACGCGCTGCTTTGAAGTGGCCTGCAACTTTGAGAAGTGCAAGCAGAAGATCATCCAGCTGCCGCAGTTGCTCTCGGACGTGTGCCGGGTGGTCTACTTCAAGCACACTCTGTCGGTAAGCTTGGTGACCAGCCTGGCAGCCAACAACTACGACTTGCAATGCCAGTTGTCTCGGAATGGTGTGCTTTGGTCTCTGCTGCTATTCATCTTCGAGTACGACTACACGCTGGACGAGAGCGGGGTGGAGGTGAGCGACAAGTCCAACCACCAGCAGCTGGCCAACAACCTGGCCAAAATGGCCGTGCTCGGGTGCATCTCCCTAGCAGGTTACAGCATGGAGCTGCGACAAAAACCGGTGACGGGAAGCGAAGCCAACTCACCGGCGAACACCAAGGCGCCGCCGGCCATAAAACCAAAGCCATCGCTGCCCGTTGCCTCAAGCTCAACGTACACCCAGAACGCCCACAATCCGCTGCAAAGCAAACAGCTGGCCATCACAAGCGGTAAGGTGCCAGCGGAAAAGGAGCCAGACACCTCGTCCGGCAGCAGTGACACTTCCAGTTCCACGCCCACCGAAAGCGAGCAACAGCAGCAGCTGTCGAGGAGCAGTCCCAGTGCCATTCAGCAGAAGTACATTGTGACGGGGGAGGCGAAGAACTCGCTGATCAAGCAGGTGCTCGATCGCCTGCTCACCCGTTACATTGCCAATCAGTTGGCCACGGTCCGCGACAGCGACGTGCTCAAGTTGCTCACGGCGAACACCAGAAATCCCTACCTCATCTGGGACAACGGCACCCGCGCACAGCTCAAGGATTTCCTGGAGCAACAGCGAACTGCATCTGCACGGGAGACGCATGAGGACATTGCCCAGGTCGCCGAGCTGGTTTCCAGCTTTGAGTTCGATGCACACAAGTGAGTAGTCTGAATTGCAGCTTCAAAATTTAGCTTATAACTTGGATTTTATGCAGAGACGAGTTGCAGATCGGCGGTATATTCATACGCATCTACAACGACATGCCCACCCACCCCATTGCCCATCCGAAGCTCTTCATCATGGATCTGCTGGAGTACCTAAAGCACGCCTTTCAGTTTCTGCAGTTCAAGAAGAATCCGGCATCAGCTGCACCTCCAGCTGCCGCCGGCGGAGCTCCCAAAATGGGTAATGATGGCATTCTGACTCCCACTCTAGCGCCCAATCATCCCCAGTTGCAGCAGGCCTCGACGGGCAAGGCCGGCAGCACCTTCGATGACGTTCTTAGTGCGTACAACCGATCGAAGAGCCGAAAGAAGCTGGAGACCGACGCCCAGACGGAACAGCAGTTGGCCTTGCAGCAGAGCAAATACGACTTTGGCAGCGACGGAAAACTTGAGCTGCACATTACTATGGTGCTGAAAGCATTGATAGCTGTGATCAAGGCAAATGCCGAGGTGGAGATCCAATGCATCGGAAACTTTGATATGATCTTCGGTTTCTTGGCCAGCAATATATTCTCCGATGTAAGGATATGTTGTTATTATCTGTGAGGTGTTAAATAACCCTTCTGTCTTGCAGAACTCAACTGTTAAAACGGTGGCCTTGGAGGTGGTTTCTCTGGTTTCGCGCAACAAGGAGTGCGTCTCGGAGGTGGCAGCCTGTGAGATTCTGGGCAACTATCTGGTGGCCCTCAAGGATCCAGAGCTTCGCGCCAGCCAAGTGAAAGTGCTAGAAACCCTTTCGGGACTGATGAACGTACAAGAGATGATTAAAGAAGCACAGACCAAGGGCGCCACCATTTATCTCCTGGATATGTTCTGCAACTCCCGTAACCCGCAGATCCGCGAGATGTGCGCCGGTATTCTGGCTAAAATGACAGCTGATCGTTTGAGCGGTCCCAAGGTTCGGATTACGGTCTCGAAATTCCTACCAGCTCTGTTCATCGACGCCATGGTAGAGTCGCCGGCCACGTCCGTGCAGCTCTTCGAGTCCATTCACGAACATCCAGAGCTCATTTGGAATGACAGCACGCGATCGAATGTCTGCGATGCCGTGGCCGACACGTGCCAAAGGTAATAGGTGAAAAGCAGCAGCTTTGTTCAAATTCTCACAGCTGCTCTCTCACAGGTTCTACCAGCTGCAAAGGGAGAATCCCCGCCATGTGTGGAAGGATCCGGAGATACTTAAAGACATAGTATCCAACGAAATCGTTGTGGCCGGCGTCTACCTCCGACTGTTTGTCAGCAATCCCGCCTGGACGCTGCGCAAGCCAAAGCAATTCCTCTCCGACCTTCTGGACTTTGTCGTTGAACAGATCGGAAAGAGTTCCGCCGAGCAGGACGTGCTCGACCTGTCCACTACGGCACTGGTCGAGCTTCTACGCTCGCAGCCCAATCTGGCGGACGACATCCCAGTGCTTGGACACATACCGAAGCTGTTTAACCTGCTCTCGGTGCAGCCAAAGAACACGCTATCAGTATTACATCAGCTTTCGCTTTCTGAGGTTGGGTGTTATAGTCATTTGTATCGTATTGTTTATTATCTAAAGTCTGTATATTACCCCTTAGTTTTGCGTGAGTGCCATTTCACAGACGGAATGTGTAGCGCCGCTGAAGAAGTGCATGGAGCACAATAGGGATTGCATCGAGAAGGCGTGTGAGGCACTGAGCCGGCTCTTTAAGCACCAGCATGTAAGTTATTATAATAGGGGTTTTAGTCAGAGTCGGACACCCAATCTTAAATATTGTATTTATTTAATTTCTTAGGACTCCCTTATCAGTCAATCGCTAGAAGTGGGTCTTATACCATTTCTGCTGGGACTGCTGGACAGCCGTCTTGAGTTCGTGGACAATCCTTCGGCGGTTAAGGCGCAAATTGTGGCGGCACTTAAGGGCATGACGCACAACCTCAATTACGGCGATCGGGTTACGCAAATATTGCTCAAGCATCCGGTGTGGGCCGAGTTTAAGGATCAGCGCCACGATCTGTTCATTGCCGACACCGCCGTACGTGGCTATCTGACGGGTGAGTCGATAGTACCATATTTTATAAATACATATCTCTAATTTCTCCGTTTTGAAGGTGTCAATCCGACGGCTGGCTACCTGACTGCGGGTCCTGCGCAAAGTGTGGAAGTGCTCACCTCACCGCCGCCTATCGATCGCGACGATCCTTCGGCCCGTCCACCCATCGATTAGCGACTTGTTATCCGCCGGACCAAGGCTAAGGCTTAGGCTGGCACTTGAGTTGATTACGCTGTTATGAAGCCTTCGATTGCCACGGAATCAGACATATGGAAACGGACACGGACTTGCACGGGACTCCTCCCATTTACTGTATTAAACTTTTTCATATTTTTTACACTCGCAGCCAATTGTACGTAGCGTGGAAAGGGCAGGCGCGGCTTTCGTCAGCCAACATATTATTAAACTGTAACAAAGTTTCATTTTTTATATTTATAAAAAAACTGTATAAATAATTAGTTATTAGTTTATACACAGATCATAAACAAACTAAATAGAGCATGCATAAAGTGATTATACATATTATGAAATAAATCCGATTCATTACAAATGAAAGAAAAGTGAAATTCCCATACCTATTATTTTATTTTAAAAGGAAACAATGTACTTTGAGTAATTTGAAAGGTATTGTTTTTATTAGTGTACAAAAAAGGTTTGCAGTTGTCAAAAGTGCGATCAGTCTTTTTGTTTCAGTAATATAGGGTATGCAAATAAAAGATTTTAAACAGTATTTTTTGGTATATTTCTTGTGCTGAACAAAACGCGTTAGCTGATTTTCCCTACATATTGTTTGGCAACAAAATAACGAAATGTCGCTGGTGGCAGATTATAGCGATTCCTCCGAATCCGATGATGAGAGCAGCAGCCAATCCTCTCAGGAAGAGAAGCCTACAGCGTGAGCTTCATCCAAGTCTTGAATTTGACCGGGGAACTAGTTTCTCTTATTTTTCCTCAGCGCGCCGCCAGCAGAGAAGCCTCCTCCCAAATTGCCCAGTGCGAGCCAAGCCCTTGCACAAGGAGCCTGCAAAGGCGATGTGTTCAGCAATCCTTTCCTGGAGGCGGAGCTCCACAAGACCGCTTCGCTGGAGCGACACGTGAAGATGGTCGAGAACGATGCCCATCTGCAACTGAAGAACGGGCGCAAGATTTGCTGGAACTTTAGGCGGGGACGTTGTCGCTTTGGCACCAGTTGCCAGTACGCCCATGACTCCGACCTGTCTGTGGATGAAGCAGCGGATAAGAGTGCGGTACCGGATCAATCAGTGCCCGTGGTCCTGGAGGCTGCACCGGGGCAATCCAACAGACGCAAGCGTCCCGGACTGGGCGATGCCCTGGAGCCGGGCAAGCGGGTAATGAAGTCATACAAGCAGCACCATGCGCAAAATCCATTTGCCCGCCGCTAAATCACGCCAGCCTCCGCGATGCGCAGCAGGCAGTGGTCACCCACGGGGCCGTAGGTGTTGGAGATGACATGCAATAGACGCCGGCCGTCGTCCTGGAGGGTTATGTCCTCCTCCACTGGCAGCTCCAACGACAATCTCAGTGTGCACACCGAGCTCCAGTAGGCACCCAGCATTGGCTCCAACTGCTGTGACGTCGAGGTGTCCTCATTGTTGCCATTGTCCTCGCCGTCATCAAAACCATTATCTGTTAGAGCGACGTAGTAAATAGTTTCGGTTGATTTCGTAATATAAAAGCGTATTAACTTTATACCGTCTTTTCCAAAAAAGGAAACATTGCCAATCAAGAAGGCCACACCCCGGAAGGCCAGTTTTCGGATTTTGCAAGCGAGTTCAACCAGCAGCGATTGCCTGAGCAACTGCATCCTCCTGCCGCGATAGTGGGCGAAGCAAGCTGCCAGGGAATCAATAAGCACAAATTTCGTTTGCACGGCAGCCTGCATCTTCGCGATCAGTTGCTGGTCAAACGTTTCTAGCACATTAATAAGGTCCGCAGCCGTGGGAGCCTGCGCCACCTGGATGTCTTTCATGGCTCTCCCACTGGTTTCTGAATCCGTGTTTCTTGCCCGGAGCATGACCTCTATTCTGTGGCAGGAGAAGTCGCGCTTGGTGTCGATAAACAGTACTGGCAGTGCGTGCTTCCAAACGAAATTCAGTGCCAAGGTGTACATCACCTGAGTCTTGCCCACGCCGGTCTGACCACAGAGCTCCCAGATCCTGCCCGGCTTGAAGTGCTGTTCCACGGAGTCCAGCAGTTTGTCCAACCTGATCAGTTATTATAGACGTATATCTTCACTTTGGGGAAGTGCTGCACTGACTTACTCTTCTATTCCCGTGCCATATTCAACGTCCAGAGTGCATTCCTCCTCGGACTTTTTCAGCAACAGCGACAATTCCTTCTTCAGTACCCGGACAGATTCCACTTCAATAAGCAGCAGCTCGTGGAGTTTCTCCTCATCCGCCTCATAAAAATCGATCAAGGACTCGATGTTGTTTTTGCTGAGCAAATTTAACTGATACTCGGATAGCAGTTTTCCCGTAGATGTTTCCAAAATCATAAGTTGAAGGTCCATTTTGCGCGCTTTTTTTTGTTTATATCTTCTGAAATATCGAAGACAAATTATCGCCATCGATTTTTGAAAATGTCCGATAGCATCGCGGGTAAATTCAAATTCTTTCCACTACAAAAATAAAAATAAATGCCCTAAAAAAATTGTTTTAATTATAATTCAAACAAATAAAAAATTAGCCTTAAAAACCTTTAAAAATTATAGTTTAATAAGACAACTATATAAATTAAATGATGACACTTCATTTCAAACAGTGTATCTTTTCCACAAATTCAAGAATCGATCATTAATTAACTAAACTAAGTTGCCACTCGATTCACAACATGCATATTAATGAGTGTTTATCTTTTGTTTTGCAACCGCAACTCAACTCTTAATTCAGATAAGGCACGTCATGTCAATAAAAAAAGTCCCTAAGAGCAAAAGCTAAGTTCGAAACTGACTCACGTTTGGGGATCACAACAAAGATACAGTGCCTGCTCGATAAAGGAAAATTGAAATGCTCATCACAAAAATTATATGCATATTAGGAAAGAAAAAAAATGATAAATCATACACGATCTATTTTAATATTAATTATTTTTCTGAATTTGTGATGAGATAAGCTTCCAGAAGGAGAGTTTACTTTATATACATGAATTCTGAGTGGAAATCCCAAGAAAAGAGCAGGTCCCACACATAAGTGTATTCCGACTCTTTATCTGAAATCGTGTCCACTGTCGTCTGAGGCAGTTAATCAATTGTAAGTCTCAGTTGAGCTACAGAGATGAACGAAGAACCTCACGCCCACGAGAATCTGGTTGCCAAAGCCCAGAGATACGGAGATGGGGATCCTGAAATTGGCAGCACTAGTAGCGAGGAGAGTCTGGGCGGAAGCATTACATCGGTAGTGCCAGCCATTACCGAGACTACAGAACTACCAGGAGATCCTCCGACCTCAAACCCTCAAACACTGTGTATATATCTACTCGAGCCCTTCATTTTAATCCTGTTATTTGCCTACAATTTCTCGTGTAAGTTGAGTGGGATTAAGTTAGTTGGACATTCTCGATAATTTTAGATTTCAGCCACCGTACTGAAGAATGAAGTCATCTACCAAAGCTGCACAGCAGGCTTCGGTTATCCGGATAGCGTTTGCCGGCTGCTGGGCACCAAGAATGCCACGAACGACACCAAGGTTCAGATATATACTTTTGACGATAATGTGAAATACATCACAGTATTTTATTTCACAGAGAATTGAGGAGCAGGTGCAACCTTATGCTGCCCGGGTCACTTTGGCAATGAGGATAGTGGAGTGTTTTATTCCCGCTTTCTGTGGACTCTTCGCCGGGTCCTGGGCGGATCGCTATGGCCGCAAGCCTCTGCTCATGTGCTCCTTCCTGGGTGGGTTTATCTCATTGCTTACCGTTCAAATATTCTTGTCTTATTCCGATAACCAGGCTACGGCCTGCAGTATCTCATTTCAGCCGGGATAGCCTATTGTGCCGGGCAGACTCACGGTCTGGTTAGTCCCTGGTGGTATGTGCTCTCCATCGTACCCCTGTCCTGCCTAGGAAGTAGTGTCACTTATTCTGTGGCCGCAGTTTGCTTTATTGGCGATGTCTCCGAGGGCCGAGTTCGATCATACAGGTACTTGGCCACATAAGTGAAGGCATCCATATTAACAAGATCACTCCTTTTTAGGCTGATCGCCTACGAACTGGCCATATATGTGGGCTTACTCCTTGGTAGCTTCGGTTCAGGTTACGTCTATGAGGAAACCGATTCCTACATTGTGTTCAGTATTTCTGCGGTGTCCATCCTTACGGCTCTCTTCCTGATGGCGGCACTACTTCCGGAGAGTTTGCCTATCAGGAATCGCACCCAAGCAGCTCCATCGACTGACACAAGTGTGTTATCTCTGCTGAAGAGTTCTTGGAGCACCTGCACGAAACCTCGCGAGCACATGAATCGATTTATTTTGCTCACCATCATGGTAGTACTGCTGCTTACCGCATTTGTCTCAGGCAAGTCCCGAAAAATATTAATTTAAAATTCAAGCATCGTTTAAAAAGCGCCAACAAACCGAAATAGTTTAAATCAAGGTGGCCATAACGTATATTTTTGCATGTTGATTTAAGTGACAGCCCTGAAAACGGTTACCCAACTACCACTAACAATTAATAACCTCTTATATTTATTGAATAATTTTAGAACAGACATAAAAGTTATGTCAAGCAGTTATTAGTTTTGTTTGTCTACCAGTAATTATTGTTGTATCAGATTTTTAAGGTGTTATTAAAAATCCCCATTTGCGGTATTTCTTGTTTGTGGTACTTCCCTTTTTCCAGACGGAAGCAACTCTGTGTTCTATAAGTTCATGAGGATCAAGTTCCATTGGACCGTAAAACAGTTCACCGAATACGAGACGGTGAGCATTTTGGTTCCTGCAGTGGCTGGTTCCGGTGGAGTGCTCTTCATTTGGTCCCTGAGGAAGGTGAGTCCTGTGGGTGCCCAACGGGAGCATCACTATAATATCATACTTTTTATAATGTTACCTACTCAATGACCGACAGTGCACCAAATCGGCGGTTCTGTGGCTGGCCTTTGTGTCCCTGCTGAGTCACTGTTCCAGCAGCCTGATGAAGGCCTTCGCCTTGGTGAGCTGGCAGATCTATGTGGCCATAGGACTGGGCGTGTTTAAGTCCCTTGTGAATCCCATGTGTCGCACCATGATCACCAATCTACTGCCGGCTGATGAACGGGGTAAGTCCAGATAGTAAGACTTATTTCTCTGTTCTTCACACTTTCTGTGGATTCCCATTCCAGGTAAAATCTTCGCCCTACTTGGTGTCTTGCAAGCACTCTCCCCTTTGATATCGTCTACCCTGTACGTTGCGATCTACACCCGAACACTGGACAGCGCGCCGGGTGTTTTCAATGTGTTTAGCGCCTTTCTTTATGGCACTGGTATTATTCTTCTGGGGTATGTTATATTGACCCATTTCGATTGGTTTCCAATAAATTCAATGCCACATATTTCAGTATTGTTTGGTGCAAGAAGTCGAGAAATCAGGTGTACTATGAGCCGGTTTTTAAATGACTAATCGTCCATCCTAAAGACGGGAAGAAAGCGCCATATATGCCAAACTTAGACTATCAGTTTCGCGGATGGAATGGCGCTGGGAACTCCCCCAACTACCTCTAAACACAATACCCACTCATCCATAAACCATTTCGATTTTATTTACATTGTGGCGCAGTCAGTCATATGCATAAGTGTTAAGACTTAAGAATTGTAGTATCGCATTCTCTCGACTTTGCTAATCTCTCGCGATCTCACTCTCCCTTCCCTTGGCGAAAATTGTTTAATTACAGAACTCAAAATATTTTCTCATTAACAAAAATATGGGTTGTTATTGCCGCAAAGCTGTGGCGTGTGCGCAGTCACTTGACAATTCTTACGGAATATCTATAAAAATATTAAAAGGTGCATTCGATTGTGTGCCCAATGATTGGTGCTAACTACGGATTTGAGCAAATGCTAATTCCACTTGCTAATTTTAAATTAGTCGCCAGGTTTTTTACACCCTTGATCAAGATCGCTCTTATAAGCGCTATAAGCAAAAACCGAATGAAACTCAATTTACGCACGAATTTAGTGCCCCAACAGAGCAGAACGAAATCCCTCGAATTCTACATGGATTGTATCGGACCATATTGTCATCAGGCCAATTAAAATTAATATAAAATAATTATCGAAAGCAAATACAATTATAACTATAGCGATTTCGTGAGTTTTTCACTTTTCCTTATATAATGCTTAACATTAAATTTTAAGATTAGACATTTATTTTTGTGATAGAAAACTGTTGTAATAAATCGGTGCTATGAAGCGGAAAGAATCTTTTTAAATGCAAGTACTGGGTGTTTGGGTAATAGGTGCTTCTGCGGCAAAAAAAGTTTAAATTATCCTCTAAAATATGTGTTAATAGTTTTAGTTCGGGCATTTTTATGTTTCAGTCTGTAGGATTACTAAACACTTTTTAGTTTCCAACTCCCATGGGCCTGGCTCGTGCTACTCATTTGCACGATCCAAAAATACGCAGATTACTATGAATTGCCAGCAAAAAGAAAACAAACGAACGATTCAGACTTCGGACTGCGTCTCTCACGTTTCACCCATCAATAGTGGACGACTGAGTGTGGAAGTAGGGCCCAAATCTAATTTAAGCCCGACCGGCAGGGAAATGGAATTTAGCCGAATTCGATTTGAATGGAATTGAATCTGGTTGAGCGGGCCTGCAACACATTTTCGCCGTGGGGAATGCAGTTTCACGTGAATCTATCGAAGCTGGAAGCGGGTGGAACTGATGCGGCCCTAGATGAACAACTGTTCCCCTGTGGGACTGTGTACCTGCTGTATACACCTGCTATTGACTGTTGTTCTGCCACCGCCGAGAGCCCCACTATATAAGCCCGTGGATTTCGCGGTATCCGCTCATTTCGAGAACGAAACTCTAATTGCGAACCGTGTGTCGTCGCTGCCGGATTGGATGTTGATTTCGGTTTCGTGTTCCCGGCTATCGCGGCAATCAAGCGCTTGAATAATAATCGAATTAGGCATTAGTAACCCATAAATCTGTTCGGAAGTACCGGGCGCCAGGGGATTTTCTCCCATCGCGGTTACGTGACAGGTGTTGCAATGCGCCACTGAGAGGCCACTAACTTTGACTAGACATTGAATCGGGTTCAAGAATTTGCCCAAAACCGAACCAGCCATGGTTGAGAAGGCCTCGAATGCGTTTACGCTGGAAAAGCTCCGAAATCTGCAATGGCAAAAGGTGTTTCATATGTTCTACATAGAACCGGTTGTCTTCATGCTGCTGTTCTCGCACACGCTATCGGGTGAGTGACCCGGCCCGCTGCCCCCGAATCTAGCCTCTACTTACCACCCGACATCACATCCAGGCACTATCCAGCGCAACCAGGTCATCTACCAGACGTGTACGGTGATCTTTCACTACAATGAGTCCGACTGCAAGCAGCTGGACGTGAAGAACGCCAGCGCCGAGATAAATGTGGGTTCTAGTTCTAGTGGGCTTAAGCCACAAATAGCATGTTCATTCCGACCTATCTTTCTCCTCCGCTGTGTAGGCCATTGAGACGGAGCTGCAGCCGTATGTGGCCAATCTGTTCCTAACCCGCACCCTCCTGGAGAGCATTGTCCCTGCATTCTGCGGCCTGTTCATCGGCTCCTGGTCGGATCACTATGGCCGCAAGCCCCTGCTTATTGTTTCTATGATAGGTAAGACCTATTTTTGAGTTCTCTTAAACTATTGAATTTACTTCGTACAAGTGCATTAAACATCAAATGGATACTACACAATTATAGGGTGAAAGCGCAATTAAGCTTCGATGACATAACATAGTCGAACCGGTATAATCAATTCTGTAACTTATGGAGTAAAAAAGTTAAACCGTCTAGTTTCTCCTATGAAAATAAAAGTTAAAATTGTTCATCAAAATTATACGGATTTAAAAATAACTCATTTCTTTTCTATGTATATAATTGGCAGGCCACCTTAGATAATTTTGTTCAACTAATTTGCTGCACTGAAACTGCTGTAATAAAAGTTAATTTTTCAGTTTGTAATTTTAAAAGCGGGTGAAGAAACAAAATTTGTGGTAAATGTGTCAAATGGGTTAACTGATAAAAATTATATAATTTTGTGTCAATGAATCGAGGGTTTTTAAACGAAAGAGATAAACAGAAAAAGACCCAGTAATGTACTTTTAACCACTTTCCTCCTGCGCAGGATTCTCCGCCTCCTTCCTGATGATGGCCGCCATCTGCGAGCTGTCCAGCTACTATGTGGTCAATCCCTGGTGGTACATTCTGGCAGCGGTGCCTCATTCCATACTCGGCGGGAACTGCGTCTTCTCGGTGGCCGCCTTCTGCTTCATTTCGGACATCACGGACTGCAAGTCGCGACCCTACCGCATGATCTTCATGGAGTCGCTATTTTTCATCGGGCTGACCAGTGGATCCCTGCTGTCCAGCTTCGTGTACGCAGCTGTGGGAGCGGCGGCGACCATCGGCCTCTCCGGCTGCATCGTAACCTTCGCCACGCTCTTCATCATCTTCTTTGTGCCGGAGAGCCTGCACTACCGCCAGGCACAAGACGCCAAGAACGCGATCCCGGTCAGTGGGGAAAAGGATTGCAAGGAGAAGGACGTGCCGATCACCGCCTGCGATCTGCAACTGGACCGCGTGGCCATCGACTGTCCACCGAACTTCATGGACAGTGAGGAGCCCGGGAAGGACAAGAAGATGGAGCTGCCCACACCGGCGACTCCGGCGATGAGCTTCGACGACGACCTGCTGGCCAAGTACGTGGAGAGGCTGCCCCAAAAGGCGGCGGAGGAGGAGCGCAAGCGCAAGCAGGCGGAGGAGGAGCGGTCCAAGAAGGCGGGCCTATTCAGTGTGGTGCACATCAGAGACATGATTAGCACCTGCTTCAAGCGGCGCGAGCATCACGCGCGCGCCATCATCTGGCTCGTCACCCTGGCCATGTTCCTGTCCATCTTCGTCTTCGGTGAGTCTCTGCACGATCAACCTATTAAATCCACGGCTTATGCAATTGATCGCTCCCAGATGGCGTGATGACTGTGATGTACCTGTTCGTGCGGGAGAAATTCCACTGGACGGTGCGGGACTACACGTTCTTCGAAACTGTCAGCCACCTGGTTCCCATGATTGGAGCCCTCATCGGATTTCTGATCCTGCGAAAGGTGAGCTTTTTTGGCGCCCAACGTGGGGCTCAGGTGCTTATTCAGTTTACCCGTTCGTTTTCAGGTCTTCCGGCTGTCTGTTGTGACTCTAGCCCTGCTGGCCTTCTTTTCGGAGATTCTGAACAATCTGGCTAAGGGCTTCGCAACGATGCCCTGGCACATGTACCTCTCCGTTACCCTGGGCGTATTTCGATCCATCTCAGGCCCCATGTGCCGCACCATAGTTTCGAATATAGTACCCCCTTCCGATCTGGGTATGTTACGATTTCTAGTATTCCAGCACCACAGCTGTTTCTCAAAGTACAAATATTTCACCTCTCCCTTCCGTAGGCAAGATTTTCTCCATCAAGAATGTTCTGCAGTCATTCGCACCGTTTGGTAAGCGGAGCTAGTGCCATTTGATTGTTTATTGTTTTATTGACTCTTTTACTGCTAATTGCAGTGGCAGCCCCCCTGTACACCCTCATCTATAAGCGGTCGCTCACCACCTACCCGGGTCTGTTCAACTTCGTCAGCTCGTTCCTGTACCTGCTCTCGTTCGTGTTTATCGGGTGAGCTTGGCGCCCAGCGCTCGCGATGGGTCGAGGAAAACCCCTCTCCAAACCCGCTAATTGATCACACATCTCCCCTTCCCTCAGATGCGTCTTGCGGATCAAGTACAGGCACAAGCAGCACTACGCCAAGGTTCTGAAGTGAGGCGGCAGCAGCGGACCTGCGGCAAAATTAACATGTGATCATCCCAAGCAAGCAATCAAAATTTACAAGTGGAGCGAATTTAAAGATGAGAATCCGGAAAGCAGGCGTTTAACTGTTAGGGATCATCGGCTATAGGTGGAACGAACGATCTTGCTTGACTTGTTTATTTATATTTTACGCTTTAGTATTTTGAATTTGTTGTAAGGTAAAATTAAGAGTTCTATAATTTTCTAGACAATTACAATGTTATGATTCACAAACCAATTTAACATTTATTTCGGCTTAGGGGCTGTCAATTTATTACGTATTCACCATCCCCCACATCAGATATCCGTTATTCATCTAAAGTGGGTGCGAGAGAGGTTGAGGTTAATGAATGGTTAAAGGTTAAAGTATTTATTGATAATCTGAAACAAACTCATTTACACTTTAAGAAAATCTTTAAAATCAGCCTAGTGATTCTAGAGTTTAGGGGTTTTTAGCAAACTTTGTTTTAACTTGTTCGAAACACGTTGGCCCTCCATCTTTAAAAATATGGTTGCCAAAGCAACAGATTTTTAAACTAGCGCAATCTATTGAAGAAACTTTGATTGCTTCTAACTTATTAATGAACGGTTCCATTTAAATTTTTGCGTGTTAGATGGATAATATGCAACATCTTAAATTTGGCTCGATGGATGCTATATTTTTGAATTCGTTACTAAGTCCCAAGTTAAACTGCGTTTTCCAAAAAATTCCCCGACACAAGGATTCTTAGCACAAGGACCTCAAAGTTCGAAAAATTCAGAAATTGGTCAACTTTCCGGATGTTACAGTTACAAAAATTACAAAATTTTCCTATTTGTTTACAGTTCGGAAATATTAGAACGTCAAACAAATTACAAATTTTAGCTGTTACTTTTCAATGTTTTTTCTGGGGAGCTGTAACAGGAGCTTACGGTCTATTTATATAAAAATCTACTGCAAATTTTAATTTAAATTTAATTGACTTAAATTTTAAATATTAGACCAATTCGATTAACTGTGGCGGACTTACTACACATATTTTATTAAAGGAACTCTTTAAAAAACTAATAAAATTTTTGAATTTTGGCCTGTACGGGATGTGAATAATTTTGAGATAGCTTTACCAATATATATATTTTTTTAAACTCGTAATTTTTAGGTATTCAACGCTAAACCAGCAGGGTTTCTAAACAATTGTAAAGCTAAACTTATTGACCTCAAGCTCCTTGATACAGTAAAACCTAAACCGATATTTCCCTCGAACTGACAAACAGATGTTTAAAAACTTTCATATCTTTCATTAAAATTTTCAATTCAATCTTTAATTTTTAATTTTGAGGCTAAATATAGTCGCTCTTGCACTCTCTCCTTTTGCGCTCCCTCACTAAGAGTACTACCGTCCACAAAGCTATAAGTGTAATCACTGCCGCAATAATAAGAATAGCAATATTATATTTTTCCCACTCTATTGATCGCACTGTATCTCTGTTTAAGGTATTGTGTTCACTAGTTGTCGATTGCTTAGATAATTCAGTAGTTAGGGTCGTCGGTGGTTTAAAATATTTGGTGGTTCCGGTAGTCATCGTAGGTGGTTGAAAATATTCGGTAGTTGTCGTCGGTGGTTTAGAGGACTCAATGACTTCTTGATCTGAGTTGTGTCTACACCCTCCTTCCATCAATTTGACATCGTCGATACCAATGTCCCCATACGGATTATTAGGGTCCGTGACGGTGAAAACGACTTGAAAGCTCTGATCCATCTTGTCAATAGGAATAGAAAATGTATGCCACTTGGCGCCATGATCGCCAGACAGATTGAATTTGGAGGACCTGAAACATCAGAAAAGTGTTTTAAATGAAGTTCCCTTAAAACGTTTTCATATAACAAAATAATAATAGGAAGTAGAGTCCTGCATGAGTACACTTGAATTGACAAACAAGTCAATTTTTTGAAAATAGAGTGAGTGAGTTCAAGTGAGTTAACTTGGATCACTTGTTTCACATGATCACTCGTAAAAAAAAACAAGTGATACACAGAGAAAATTATACAACGTTTTAGGTGCCGTTTTAAAAATAAAAATTAAAACGTTTTAAAAATGCAAAGTAAAACGAATTTGTATGAAGCGTTTTACTTTTTAAAATGTTTCACCCCTTATTTTGCACCTAAAACTTTTGAAAATGTTCTCTGTGTACAAGCACAGAATAAAAGTGAGTGGGAGTGATAAAATTACTAAGCAAATTATTTAGGTGATTCGAAATTATTTTATATCTATTTATTTTATACTAAATCACTTGTTTTTCCTTATGAAAAAATAAAATGAAAAAAGTGATCCAAGTTAACTGATTTTAAAAATTGACTTCCAAGTACACTCATGCTGGACTCTAATAGGAAGCTATTACTACTAAAGCTAGTACTAGCCTACTAAACTTACATGTTACTAAATGTCATTGATTCGGTTTTTACAGATACTGTCAAGTTCTTTACTCCTGTTCCAAACATGAATATGTGAAACTGAAAGCACAGGGAGTTTCCCAAAGTAAGGTCCTTGGGATAGATTGGGGATAAGAAGTGTTTGTCTGCGGATAACCAAGGGTCCGTTTCCATGAGGATAAAATGTCCTTCTGTGTCACTCTGAAAGGTGTGATCCCGCTGTGGACCCGTTCCATTGGAGTGGAAATTAGTAGCAGCGCTGATCCTTTTCCATACTTTTTTCTCATTGTTATGCGCCTCCCAGCCGCACAAATCCTCTCTCTCAAAGTCACAGGAGTAATCCACTGTATTATTGCTCATCATACATGTTCCCAATTCAGTGATCCACTCCTCTCCATTGCAGTATGTGACCTTGTTTCCGGAAAGAACGTATCCTTCATCGCATTCGACCTCCGCCCTTAGAAGTGTAGTATTGGCAATGCCGTTCCTCGGACTTGGATAATTCTTGCAACCAGCCTCTAAGAGTTAAGAAAGTAATTTCTGAATTTATATGCATTTCTTAGGTAGGATTTCATCTTGACAATTAAACTTTTATCGCTGTTCTTATTACCCGTTACTCATACAGTAACGCCCACAATCGCCTTAAACTTAAGTTAAACTTAAATAAACTTAAATATTAAGAAATAGAAGGTATATTTTATATCGGAACATTCATTAAAAAGTTATGAGTACTCTACTAAAGCGTTTTCTCTTTTCGTTTCTCTGTCCGTCTGTCTGTCCGTCTGTATGAACGCTGAGATCTCGGAAACTACAAAAGCTAGAAGGTTGAGATTTCCCACACATATCCTTGGTCTTCCTACGTACCGCAAGTTTATTTCAGCCGAGCGCCACGCCCCCTCTAACGCCCACAATCGCCCACTAACGATTTTAAAAAGTGTCTGGCGCCCACATCTTTAAAGACTTTTGAAAAGTAAAATGCAATTTTGTTGTGTATATTTGTACCTATCAAAATGTAGAAGACATTTTTCAATTCGGACCATTCATGAAAAAGTTATGCGCAATCAAAAAAATGTATATATCCATCACCCTCGCACTCCCTTTAGCTGAGTGACGGGTATTCAACTTACTGGCACAGAAACGTCGTTCTTCTCTCAAGATACTCCATGTGCAACTGCCTATCGAATTTCCTTGCAGGATGTATCCGGAATTGCACTCGAATTTTAAGAGTTCCCTTTCCAATCTTATCGTGCCGTTGCCCAAGCTCATGAGTTCCACACAAAAGTTCCCGCTGGCTTGCCCAAAGTTTTTAAGAATGAGTACTGCCAGAAAAATTAAAATATTAAAATGAACGAAGGCCATTGCGGAATGTGTTATATCTTAAAGTTCGATAACGACTGAGCTGAGCTAAGCTTACTTTTTATAGCTTTAGCAGAAAGGTTCAATACCGGAAGTATATATTTGTAGATTTGGGCACTAGATATGCATATACAGTCAAGCTTCTATATCTCGAACTTACGTAACGTAAAGGTAAAATATAAGAATAAATTTTCTTATAATATAAACAAAAATATATTTCTTTAACTGGCATTCTTGCATTGTCTCAGTAATATTTGGTGTTCCCTACATAGTCCGTCATAAAAAACCAATCGTCTTTGATAGGAAGAGATTTCTGTGACACCCCCGAGTACATTTTACTTTATTGATATTATACTATTATTATACTTTTTATGTTTTCATATATTTATTAAATAATAAACCATCCAATTTGTTTAGAATTTTATAACTTCTATTACGAAAGAGAACAAATTTTAGATGACTATTTTTCAGAATTAATGTTTTGCAAACCGAGCTTTTGTCGATTTCGAGCATTTCTCTTAATTAACCATGTGCACGTAGTTGTATGTATAGAAGCTCGACTGTTTCTTATTTCCATTTGGTTTCAAAGAATTTTTAACAATTTATTAAATGAAAGAAAAACATGGATCTGAGTCATTTCTTATCATAAATAATTCTTACTGCACTCCAACGACCACAAATTGAAAAAAGTGGTTTTCCCACCATATTGAATATTAGACAAAAATTCTGAATAAAATAAAGATGGGAGGAGCCAAGCAACAGTATGTTTTTTCGTAAGCAACACTTTTGGACACTTTCCATAGAGGCTCGAAGGTATTTTACTTTCCGTTTAGTTTAAAAAGTTCTGCATTGTAGTTTAGAACTTAATCTTTGGTAAATATTAAATGGTACAATCAAAAAGTCCTACACTAAATCTTAATATTTACATTTAACTAGGCCTAGCCTAAGAAAATATTTATATAATACTTTTAAACGAACTAGAAAACTTCTTGATACACTGGCTTTTGAATGGTTACAATTGTACAATATTTGTAGGTTCTATTCAAATAACTTCATAAGTAGGTCAACTTCCTATAGCCTGGTAAGCACTGTCTCTGCCCATAGATTTTTGAATGCCGAAGACCGCCCTGAAATGGGATGTTTATTTAATTTCAGAACAGGAACTTTAACTATTTAAAGGTACTCACGCCGACATGCAGTAGCACAGGAAGTACAGTCCTACGCTGATGAAATTGAAGATGCCCGGGTAAAAGTTAACTGTGGCTTGGTATACGGCCGTATAAAGAGGTGCAGCTCCCAGGGGTGATATGGACTGCAGGGAAGTGGTTAGGGAGAATATTTTACCTGCGAAAAATTGTTTTATTAGCATTTTCCAGGTCTTTAGAATCCCTCTGACTCACCCAATTCCGAGCTGGGAGTCACGTGCGAAAGGATGGCCTTGCACATTGGCGACATAACTCCTCGCATCATGCCCAGAATCAGGGCCAAGTACATCTCGCTACCATATACGGCCGTGGCCCTGACCGTGCTTTCTAGGACGCAGCAGGCGAATGCCAGGAGCGTCATCATGATGGTGGACATTCCCAGAAGACGACGCAGCAGGATCATGGCAATGGTGCTCCCCACCACTTGGATGACGACCCTTGCCGCGTTAAAAACGCTGTAATCCTGGACTGTGTAGTCAAACTGCTTCCGCATGAACATGTAGTTCACTGTGGACTCGCCCTCTAAAAAGTCAAATGAGTATTCAGATCCTGGTCTGAAGGTGGCAGGTAGCTTTACTCACCCATAGCAAAAACGCTCAAAGTCAGCGACATGATAACAAACCAGATGATAGCCCGATCGTAATTCTCGCGTTTCCTAATGCAGGTCTTTACTAGAACCTTCACCAGGTCAAGACGGAAAAACTCTCGAATGCGGGACTGAGGGAACATTCCATTAGTAAGCAACAGTGGAAAGATTTTCTTATATAATATACTTACCCCAGTTTGCAAATCTTCAGACTTGAGACTCTCTGGCACAAAGAAGTATACGTAGAATAGCGCCACAGAGATGATGGAACCGACCAAGATAAAAAGTGTTGAGGCTCCGGTGGCGGCATAGATATATCCACTAGCCACTCCGCCTGCCATCATACCCAAACCTAGGGCAGCTTCCATTGTCACCATTCTGAAAGTAAGTCAGTTTTAAGTAGGTAATCTAATTTATAATGAAACGTTAATGAAATCTCGTCCAGCCAAATTCAAAACAAATTTGCTTGGAAGAGATAAGGAAAACCATTCATAAAATATTAATTTATTAATTTTTAGAAAATGTTTTATAAAAGAGTTACCTTTTACAGTGGAACTTTTACAATAATAAAATTCGTCCATGTGCAACATTTATAATAATTTGCGTATTATTATTTTTATACCCGTTACTCTTACTTTAAGTTAATATTTATGAATATCTACGCCTTGTATTATCCTTTTTACTCACCTCATGGCTCGCTTATCCTCGGTGGCCACATCGGATACGTGGCAGTAGAGAATGGTGATGAGGGCGCAAGTGCCTCCACTAAACACCGATGGCACGGAGGACAAGAGGAACCACCAGGGACTGATATTGGTGGCCGTAGTTATTTGTGTAAGAACTACTAGAATAATGGCACTGACGAAGAAGCCTAAAAAGTAAATCGTTCGTCATATTTAGAATTCGTTTCTGGGCTATTTTATCTCACCTGTAAATGTGGACAGCAGGATGGGTCTTCTGCCGAATTTATCCGACCAGGGTCCCAGGAAAAGGCTTACTATTGCGGGCACTGTGCTCTCGAGCATTGAGCTTATCATCGTGATGGTAGAGGCATACTCCTGAACTTGCCCCTCGATCTTCTGCAAAATGGGAACTCTGTTTGATAGGGGATTCTTTAATGCTGATAAGCCCGAATAGTTGTCGTCACGTTTCTATGAGTCACCATGGGAGGTGGGGGTTCTGGCACGGCTTAACTATCTGCACACATGCATGTCAAAATATCATAGCCGATTTGTATACTGTGCTCGATAACTTTTAATGATAAGACGATCTATTAGTCATAAACAATTTGGGTTTACTTTTGTTTTGGTCAACTGATAAGATGAAACAGGTAGCACAATTGGAATACATAAGGAGAAATGAGTTAAAAGAAACACCTGAAAACTTTATTTGAAATGAATACTTATTTGTAGAAAACTAAATGATTTTACTGTATACCATTTTCGACCCTATCGTTCTTTTTGGCTTTGGAGGCCCGATAAGAATTTTTTGAAAGAAAACATACAGAATAGCACATAAAATATAACAAGAATAGAGAAAATAAAATTTTTTAAAGTAAGTACATTACTGTTTGTTTTCACAGCAATAAAATGAGTGCTAATTGGAATGCAATTGATTTTCAATAAATTCCCGAAGCACCCGTGTAATGTATGTAACTGCTAACTTGGCGTGTTCGTCTGTATAGTGCAATCGCATATATTAATTCAATTAAAAATACGTATACGCCCGGTTGGATACTTTTTACAACATACCTTAACCTCATCGGAGGCACGATCCGTACCGAGAAATGGCTCGCATTCGGTTGCATTATATTTCATGACCGTGACGCAGGTTTGGTAGAGTATCTGGTTCTGATAGACAGCATCTGGGGGCGAAACAATCTGATCTATAGACGCCCACTGCAAAGGCCGCGATTCATACACACCTGTTAGGAATCTGCCAAAGAAAACCAGAAATACGGCTGGCTCTAGAATCAGCGAGCGGGGTCGTTTTAGCCATCTACCGAAAATCCGACTGGTGGGTGGGGCCAGCACTGCGGTTTCCAGCGCCTCATCATCGCCGCCAACAATTGGCTCCTCATCATCTCTCGGCATTCTGCTTAAGCGAAGGTCACGGCCTTATCGCACACTCTTTCTAACAAAGTGATCGCTGCAATTATCGTGTAGACAAAGGAATTAGCGATTCATTCAGCTAGCCAGCAATATATCGTAGCGGGAGCAGTGGTAAACCTCCGCGCGCGCCGAACTCAAGTGCTACACTAACTGCTGGGAGCAGCTGAATTCGACGACGTAAACAAACAAAGCGAGCGATTGCCAATTTGAGCACACAAAACCGTTTGCTGCGCCCCATCTCCACCCGCTCGAAGCGCTCCCTTTCAAGAACCCCACTTCTCTCGACACACTATCTGATTTATGCTATTAGATATTGATATTCGGTGTATTTACAGTTTATTGTCACACTGAAAACAGTCGAATCTTTTCTTCTTAACTTACAATGTTTGCACATGCAAAACACAGTCCAGATAGCGGACAGTACATGCATAGAATTAAAACTCATAATAATACTTGCACAAATACAAGGAGTACAAACACTAGATTAATTTACAAAAATAGTTTCTAATCGTTCAAAATGAGAGCTCTTCGCAGCACTTGCAGGAGGAATTTAACTTATGAGATACATTCAGCTAAATCGGAGCGCCGGGTAGCTGGTTAACTGCCTATAGCCTGGTAGATACTGCTGCTGCCCATCGACTTCTGGATTCCGAAAATCACCCTGTAAAATTAAAAATTAAATTAAATCATAAAAGCAGGTACGATATTCAGTCTGGAATTTCCATTTACTTACGCTATCAGAATGTAGCAGACAAAGTATAGAACGGCGCTGATGAAATTGAAAGCTCCTGGGTAGTATTGCAACGTTGCCTTGTAGACGGTTGTGTACAGAGGAGCAGCCCCGAGCGGGGACACCGACTCCATGGAAGTGGTCAGAGCGAAAATCTTGCCTAAATTGCACGGAAATTGTTTTAGTCAATCGATCGGACACGCTTCGCTGATTGCTGGGATCCACTTACCCACTTCCGTGGCAGGCGCAACATGCGAGAGAATCGCACGACACATAGGACCCATGACGCCCCGCATCATTCCCAGCGTCATGCCCAAGTACATCTCCTGCCAGTACACGGCAGTGGCTCGCACCGTGCTCTCCAGGACGCAGCAGGCCAGGGAAAGCATCGCCATTGTAACGATGGACATTTTTAGGACCCGTCGCAGTACCACCATGCCGACAATGCTGCCCACGATTTGGATCACAATGCGGGAGGCGTTGAACAGGCTGAAGTCCTTGATGGTCCAGTTGAATTGATCCTGCATGAACATGTAGTTTACAGTGCCCTCGCCCTCTGCAAGCAATAGTTAGATTAGATTTGTTGGGCGGTCTCCAGCCTTAATTTAGTTACCCATATCGAAAATGGCTATCGTCAGGGCAATCATAGTAAGCCAGATGATGGCGCGATCAAAGTTTGGTCGCCTTTTGAAGCAGGTGCGTACTAAATCCTTGACCAAATCGAAACGGAAGAACTCGCGGATTCGCGACTGTGGATAAGGAACAAGGAGTGAGCTATACATTTTCCGCTGGCTAAGTAAATGACTTACTCCTGTGTGTATATCGGCTGGATTTAAGCTCTCTGGCACAAACAGAAATACGTACATCAAGGCAAGCATCATCAGGGTTCCGGCTACGGAAAAAAGAACCAAGGCATTCGTGGCGGCATAGATGTAGCCGCTGGCCACATTGCCCATCATCATTCCAGCGCATAGGGAGGCCTCATTGAGAACCATTCTAGAGAAAAAAGGATGGAAACTAAGTTATTCCGTCTGGGTTACAATCAGGGATTCTCCACTCGCCTTAAAGCCTTCTTTCGCTCCTTGGCCACATCGGATATGTAGCAATAGATGCCCGTGATCAAGGCGCATGTTCCACCGCTTAGGACCGAAGGAACTGAGGACAAAAGGAACCACCACGGGCTAATATTCGTGGACCTGGTTATGTAGGTAATAACTATTAAAATTAGAGCGCCAGAGAGGTAACCTTTAAGGGAAAAACATGAAATCAGTATGCGTTTTAAATGGCCCTAACGGCCATAACCAACCCGTGAAAGTAGTCAGCAGAATGGGTCGCCTTCCGAACTTGTCGGACCAGGGACCCAGGAATAGACTCGCGAAGGCAGGTATTATACTCTCCAGCAAAGAGGTTGTCATCATGATATTTGCCGAATACGTCTGTACTATCACTTCGACTTCCTGAAAAAACAGAAGTTCTTTTTAGAACAATGCACAACTGCGGTTCACGTTTTTTTGCATGATTCACCCTGGCTCAACTGGTATCTACGCTTTGCTAGAGTTCGATACTATTTAGTCACAAAGGATTGTGCTTACTTCTGTTTTGCCCGCTGATAAGCCTTGAATGTCGTGCTAAATGCCTTATCTCTAAACTCCAAACAATGGAACTGTTGCATTAGATTAAACCGATTCGCTAAATAGATTTTGCTTTGTCACGTTGGATGCTGATATACTCAGAATAAGTGGGTCACGTCTTATATGATTGTATTAATCTCAGCGAGCTAAATACTTTAAACTTTAGCATTTCAAATGCCTTTGTAAAATACATGTGTACATATTTTAGTTAATGTTGATGTTACTTGGTAGTTCCACAGATTTGAATAAATTTTAAAATTTCCCAAAATGCACATAAATTAGTCAATATTGACGTTACTTGGTTAAATAGAGTTAAATGCATTTTAAAATGACCTTAAACGTATTAATATTAATATTTTAAATTAAGTCAGGGCAATTTTTCCCAGTGATATTTTGATATTTTTTGATCGCTAGTATGTATACCAAAAACCCGTAACGCCCCGCAAACCAGCAAAAACAATTTGTAAAGAGATAAAAACTTTGCAAGCTAAAACCAGACACGAGAACAGCAGCAAAGCAAAGCCAAAGCTATATGCTATGTGTGTAGTACACAGTTGTAGGTCAAAATTATCCACTTACTTTATCCGCATCCGATCCGCGATCGATGCCCAGCAACGGCTCACATTGCGTGGCATTAAATTTCTCGATGGTGACGCAGGTCTGGTAGAGGATCTGATTTTGATAAACCGCCCCTAAAACAGACACAAAGTTAATTGAATGATGCACTCAATCAGAGATTTTGTCTGCTCGCCGTCATACCGATTAGATATCTGGCGAAGAAGATTAGAAAAACTGCGGGCTCCAGGATGAACCAACGGTAGCTGTTGAAGTCATGGGGCGGAGGAACTGGAGGAAGGTCCACCTGCTCACTGCTGGCCGCAGAAGAGGCGTCCAGAATGCGTGGCGCCGAATCTTCGCCAGCCTCCACATCGGTCACCAAGGCCTCCGTATCAGAGCGGGGCATTCTGCCGTTCCGTTTCGTCCCCGACTTGGTAGTTATCTCTCGCGGAGCTTGGGGATCCGACTGCCTTCCACCAGACTTCCGTAGATAATGGAATTAGCAATTCATTCACCAGAATGCAGCGCAGTTCCTCTCATGGACTTCCAAACGCGACGGCGGGTTTTCAGATACTAACGCCTCAACTGCTTTACTGCTGATTAACGCGGATTTGTCGTTGCCTATAGCCCTGATGATATTGCATGTATTATTTTCACCAATACTGTTGGACGGATTTCTTCCGTAATTAATGTCGTTATTTAAAACTTTCTAAAGGCAGCAGCAACAGCTGATTGCTCTGCTTCTTCTATGTTATTGTTTTCATTTCGATTGGCGATTCTTATTTCTGGGGATGCCAACTTGTGGAAAATTGAAAGCAGCCGTTGAAGTTTTTTATATTTTTACTGGTCAATTGATTCAATTTAAACTTAATCTTAGTAGCGGCGTCGATCTCGTTCTCCCCGCGAATCTCGTTCGCGCTGATCATGACGTCCGCGGTCGCGTTCTCGCTCCCTTTCCCGGCGATCTCTGTCCCCGTTCCTGTCCCGCTCCCTCATCCTGTCCCGATCCTGGCGCTCCCTATCCCGATCCTGGCGCCCACCGGTTTGCCGGCGGTCATAGTCCTCGTTCTGGTTGTCCCGGTTGCGCACTCGGTTCCGCTGGCGGTCGTAGTCCTCCAGTTCATCGTAGTAGTCCCGGGAGCGGGCGTTGTTGCCCTGCCCAGATCTCCGGTCGCGCTCCCGACTGCGCGACCTGGACTTGGAGCGGGCTCTTCGCGGTCGCCGCACTGAGGCAGAGTTCTCCTTGGGCCTGCTGGCATCGTCCGCCTTCTCCTCGTCGCTGGGCAGCTCGTCGTCCAAGTCCTCGTCCAGCACAGACACCTTGGGCTCGATCTCGTTGTTCTCCTCCAGAATGGAGCGCTTCTGGATGCGGGGCAGTATGATGTCGCAGACACGGTCGTTGCGCAGCAGTTCGTCTATGTACTCGTCCATGTAGACGATCTCGAACTGGCCGGCGCGATTCTGGCGGCGCAGCTTGCGGTTGTCAATGTACAGGGGCTCCAGGTACTTGTAGCAGTCCAGCGCGGCTCCCGTGAGCCGCAGATAGAAGGCTCCCAGAGCGCGCACGTACTTGAACTCCTCGTTCTTGATGAACTCCACCACGATGTCCTTCTCCGGCTGGATTTGCAGCATCTTGAGCGTGAGGCAGAGGAACTGGGTGGGCTTGATGTTGCCGCCGTAGACGCCGCCCACGAAACGCAGCTCCATGGCCTTGTCCACCAGCAGTTCCGCCGTGAGGGCGAAGCACTGCTCCTTCCAGTACTTCGAGTCGTAGATTCTCGAGCGGATGATCTTCTCGATGAGGTACTGCGGATTGGTGCCGTGCACATTTTTTGCCTCCTTCACCGTGCGGTTGGCCATTCTTGGTGGCTTCCTGTTCTCTGGTCACCAGTAAGAGTTGATGCCAGGCGGAAAAATGTGATAATGCAAGGGTTTATTTATTTTTTCGGCGTTTTCCAGCCAGAGTGACCACCTCGGCGCCTAGCGAAATATACCTTCCTGCCACCGCATACAGAAATTCGATAGCGATAGCACAGGGCAATCGGTATCGGGTGACGCATACGAACAACAGCTCCCAGACAACCAAGAAACGCAATTGCAGGAAAAACCTACTTATTCGCTAACTCCGGGTGAAAAACAGAGCAGCCAGGATGAGTTTCTTCGGGAAGATGTTCGGCGGCAAGAAGGAGGTGGCCCCCACCACCGGCGAGGCGATACAGAAGCTGCGCGAGACGGAGAACATGCTCATCAAGAAGCAGGAGTTCCTGGAGGCCAAGATCGAGGACGAGCTGAACATAGCTCGCAAGAATGCGTCCAAAAACAAAAGAGGTATGTCTGGTGCCTGGCGAGGTCCTTGCAGTTCCGGTGGACCACTTGGATGGGCCAGGGCGAAATGACTCATTGCTTTGTTTTTGTTGCGGCCGAGAGGCCCTCCCAATTAATCAGACCCCCGTGCTGCCAGCAAGTAGAACTCTCAATAAAACAATCTGTATTTCTTCGCCCTTCTCACCCGCACACCATTCGATGCCTGGACGTGTCCGCTCATCGCTAAGAACGTAATATAAACATTCCTTTTGATACCCAAATCAAACGCAAGCCATGCAGTAGAGTAATTCGAAGCACGCATAGCTAATTGGCCATATCATATGTAGAATATAGAATTCAGTCCTGCGAACCATCTAATCAGTCCCCTTGTCACCTTTTTAGTGGCCCTGCAAGCGCTCAAAAAGAAGAAGCGCCTGGAGAAGCAGCTGCAGCAGATCGATGGCACCCTGTCCACAATCGAGATGCAACGGGAGGCCTTGGAGAGCGCCAACACAAACACTGCCGTCTTGACCACGATGAAGAATGCCGCGGATGCCCTCAAAACAGCCCATCAGAACATGTAAGTCATAGATCCACTGGAACATGTGGTCCAGATACTAACCTTTGCTTTCGCGCAGGGATGTGGACAAGGTGCACGACATGATGGACGACATTGCCGAGCAGCAGGACGTGGCCCGTGAGATCTCCGATGCCATCTCCAACCCAGTGGCCTTTGGGGCCGATCTCGACGACGAGGATCTCGAGCGGGAACTCGACGAGCTGGAGCAGGAGAACTTTGATAAGGAAATTATTGGAATTCCCGAGCCGGCGCCCACATTGCCCGAAGCGCCCACAGAAGATTTGCCCGAAAAGGCCAAGGAAAAGAAGAAGGCGGCTACCACGGCAGCTACAGCGGCCGATGATGGTAAGTTTTCCTTCCACGTGTGGAGTACTCCAGTTAATTATCGTTTATATTTAATTGCAGATGATCCAGACATGAAGCAGCTGCTATCCTGGTCCAACTAAACGAAAGCGCTATCGAAATCTCCTCACTGTTCTGCAGATTCACCCCCGACCCAATCGTTTTTGTTTTAATTAATAATCAATAATATTAATTAAGCCGAAATTTTAGTTTCAAGCGAAAGGGAGAAGAACAAGGCATTAATTCCTTTGGCAATCTATCAAATGGTACATAAAATAGGAATGTGATTTAACAAATAAAGGAAAGGAGCATAGTCAAGCCACACATCAGCAACCGTAGAGAACTGCATCGAAAACAATGTATTTTTATATTTCTTTCGAATTCATTTGTTTATTTTGTTTTACGGAAGTTAATGGCCACTAACTGAATGCAGATCTAATATTCCAACCAACAAAAGTAGTTTTTTTAATTAAACAGCAATATGTTTTGTGGCACTCATATTTCCGCAGACTTAGCTTTGTATTGAAAAATTCACATAAATAAAAGTAAGAAGCCGCTCGACTGCAGACAATTCAGTACTAGCGAGAGGAAAAAAGAAATAATAAACCAAAATATTTTATTAAAAATGTGTATAAACACCGGATGTAAGGCTTAGAAATTTGATTTATTAATCTTATCACCTGGCGAACGGAAATATCTTATCTTAAAGTAAGCAAGAGATCGGGGATTGAAACTGTAAGCAAGTTTTTAATGATTACCATCTTACCTTACTGTGGGGTTTTTCAGATCCACAAAATCCCCGTTCCTTACTGATTTATAAACGTTACCCATTTAATTTTAATGCAATTTGGAGTAGACTTTTATTACAAATCGATCGGTTGTACATCAATATCATTTTAGCTATGGCTTGCTTAGTCTATGTACTACGGACTTGGCTATTTAGTGAAAGGCACTCAGGTCTGCTGCCTCAGGCTCTTCACATACCGCACAGGAACTTCAGGCAGGTACACGCAGACAAAGAACATCAAAGGCCCGAACAAAATCATGCAGATCAGCCAGTAGACCAAGCCCAAGATTGTGATGGCGTCCATATAGGAGGGAGGGGATCGATCGGACAGTACGTACAAATGTGGGGGTAGATGAATGTCTTCTTTGTATAATTGTAAATAAATAACTAGTATCACTAAACACCGGACTCGGCCAATGGAGATGGTGCAACAAGGCAAAAGGCTATTGTCGCCGCTAGCGCTCCGATGTTCCTAATAGGATTACAGATATATAGCTGCAGGTCACTCAAGATACGGATCCCGACTCATCCGGTTGATGCTCGGATCCACAATGGTCTGGTAATCTTCAGGCGCGCCACCTAAAACGAAGCGAAACGAGTGATGGTATTGCATCAGTTGCGATTCTGGTAATTATTCACGCGATTGAGGATCTTACGGCGTGCTGAGAGTCGGAATGCCCAATGGTAACTGACCAGCTGCCCCCTGACTCACGCACTTTATACCACCTGGCAAGGCCCACGCCCAGATTGGTTATTTTCGGGGCTATCCCGGCCACTCACATTCTAAATACGGGACTTTCTCAGCTGTTCGCAGCGGCAGTGGATTCGCGACTGATTCTTAACTGGTTATGCAGTTCCAGTCCAGATCCCCTCCAAATATCAGGCTATCTCGCTCAGAACTTTGAGCCAACTTAGGCCGTACAAACAGCGCTCAAAACTCGGGCGTTCAAGGTGAGCTTATAAATCTATGACCGCACAAACTGGTTTGCCAGTCTCCACAGAACGTTCGGTTACGGTCTTTGGCATTTAATTAATCATATTGCTCGAGCTTAACCCCTGTTGTAATCGACAATTGCAGGCGTTGAACGGCTATCAGGGGTCCGAAATTACTGCACCTACCAAACCATTTACTCATGGGCTTCCATGTGCAATGGCTGATAGGGCGGTTGCCAGATAATCAAATTATTCTCTCGAGCCAAGTAAACAAAGTAATAAACAAGCACAGGAAATAAAAAACCTCTTAAGAACTACTCACAAAATGGAATAGATATGGAGAAACCAAAGATTGGGAAAGGGAATACAAAGATACCATTATAGATAAACAACTCAAAGGGTCACTGATCCTACAAATTAACTATTCACTTTTTATATACTTCCTATTAGAGTCCTGCATGAGTACACTTGAATTGACAAACAAGTCAATTTTTTGAAAATAGAGTGAGTGAGTTCAAGTGAGTTAACTTGGATCACTTGTTTCACTTGATCACTCGTAAAAAAAAACAAGTGATACAAGCACAGAATAAAAGTGAGTGGGAGTGATAAAATTACTAAGCAAATTATTTAGGTGATTCGAAATTATTTTATATCTATTTATTTTATATTAAATCACTTGTTTTTCCTCATGAAAAAATAAAATGAAAAAAGTGATCCAAGTTAACTGATTTTAAAAATTGACTTCCAAGTACACTCATGTAGGACTCTACTTCCTATGTACTTATTGTAAAAATCCAAATTTTATGAAAGCTAAAAGTCCTCAAAAATGTAAGACAATATTTTCATGATCGAATTTTTTCAAATCCTCTTAAAATAAAAAATTGTTTATGATGACCACACTACATGATCTTCTGGCAAATCAATTGAATTAGGATTGCATGTATATTAATAATAAACAATCGGACTTTGAATCCTCTAAACCTATTCTTTTAAAAATATTTTAAATTCTATGCAAACTTCTCATCCCAAGCTCTCAAAAAACCATTCTGAAAAGAAAATGAAACTTACATGATGTAGAAGTAGTTATCACTGTCCTTGCGCTTAACATCGCAGGGATTTCCGCTCTTGCTGGTCGTGGAGTTGGTGGTTCTTGCTCCTGGCTCAGGATCTGTGTGCTGGGAGCTAGTGCTCCAGCTGCGACCCCAAGGGCTTCTGATCGAGGATCCGGGTACATTTGACTGCTGGTTGTTGGCCAGGTTTCCATCTTTGCTGGAACCGGCGAAGAACGACTTGACGCTATCCATGTTGCGACCCTCGCTGCGGATCTCGTTCCGATTGGCTGTGTGTATTTGTCGAGCCTCCGAAGAAACGCCCGAAATTGATAAAGCTAAAAATATATATGTGAAGACACCGAAATTTATTTATTATGACTGAAATCTTGTTTTTTTGGTGGGCTCGTGCCCGTCAAGTTGTTTCCAAGTGTGGGGATATTTCTTTTTTTGGCTGTCGTACGATCTAAATTGAATTAATTTAAGGTGCAGTTGGAAAACAAGTCAAGTTATTGATAAGGTCTTGGTATACATTTATTATTATCGTATCTGCTCCAGGTGGCCATCTTGGAGGTTTCTGTTTGTTTGCTTTCCTCGAGTGGGGGTCTTTTGTTCTCCATTTGGAAAAGTATATAACACAGAACAAAGTAAAGAGTGTAGGACGGTATTTTTAAGTTACTTAGGCTGATCAAACAGGCTTCGATAAAATTGCACGTATGTAAGTGGCAAGTGCGTCGTAGTTTCAGGTTGAGTCGGACATATTCTAATCTAAATATATAGGTGTTGCCGCATACATATTATCAATTAGCAGTTCAAAACAGTTCACTGGCTAATCTGATAGTGCGGTTGGAAATCGACGGAAACACGCGCCGCCCTCGGGAGCCATGGGAAATAGTTAAGTTGTTTGGGTTTTGGGCTCATATTAATTGGTTAGTCGGACGTGGCACGATAACCGGGGGTGGGGGCCTTGAAAACCCACCGAATTCGGGGGAAATTCAAAGTGGGTCTGGAACTGATAAGCGGGCGAGGTCAACCCAGGCAACTGACCTACCTCAAAAGCACTCTTGCCACTTGCGACGCGATCAAAATGCGTGACTCTGCTGCGGGCTTTGAGTCCAATTGGTTTGACACGATTTCTCCGACTTCTCTCAGTGCACTCCCACGAAAAACAGAAACAGCAAGACGATCACTTCCAGTTGCGGGGAGAGAACTGTGAACCGTTTTGCACAATGTCTGCGATCGCACTGAAAACGAAACAAGGCACGGCATCGGCATCGAGTGTTTTTAGTTTTAATCAATTTTAAATGTGGGTGTGTGTGTCTACCACGCAGCACCCATACAAAGCCGCCTATGCACCGAAAAAAATCGTTTACAGAATGGATTTTACATCTGAATACAGGCAAGTTTTAAATCATTGATCGGTTAAAAATGTGTGAAAAATCTGTGTATTGGAACCTGAAAAAACACAGCTCAAGTTTTTAATTTATTCACCAAACCTTTCTTATTTAATACCTCATTACCTATTAAACTATTTTTAATTTTAAGGAGTTTCAAATCAAAATTTGGAAATATTTTTGGAACACAATAATAACATAATAATTTCAAGTGTATACATATGTTTGCTATAGCACTGTGTCTGTACCATGAGTTTCTTTGGGTGTTTCACCGTCTGGAAAGCGTCTGGTTTCTAGTATTGGTACCTGACTTTCCGAGGCGGTTTTTCTAGTTTGTTTTGATCGCCGTTTCTTTTCAGTGATTCCCCGTCTACTTGGTCTGTTTTTGGCTGCATCTGTTTTGGCAGCTAAATTTACGTTCTACCTGGTTCATCACTGAGCAGCCTTGCCAACGAACTTCCGCCCTTGCTCTTTGTTTCACTTTTCCGTCTTTCCTCGTCTTTTTCTACTTTTTTTCTTTTATTGTGATCTGATGCATGTTGATTGCTGTGGACTTTGGACCCTCAGTTTTTCCTCGGTTTGTAATGCTTGTTTTTACACACTACAGGGAGTAGGCGACTTGAGAATCACTCTTTTTCACTCTGATAAAGTTCAGTCGAATTCCTATATTAATAGATAATTTCAATGATTCATTGACCCAATTAAATGCTGGATGATATCTGTAGGATATTAAAAGAATTGCACAAACTGCAATCGCTGAATTCTTTTGAAGTGATAAAAATTGATTAAGTATTCGCAACATATGTTTTCAAAATTTAAAAAGAGCGACAGTTCAGATAGCATAATAAAGCTTTTACAAACAAGATTATGTTGAGCCAAGCTAAATAGAATCTAATGTTTATATTGTTTTAAAGAGATTGGCTTTTAAGATTCCTCCCGTTTATTGGTTGCATATTTAAAACGAGTGGCAGCTCCGATATCTGCAACAGCTGTCAAGTCCAGGGCGGAGTAGGCTCTCGCCAATTGGAACTAGTAGGCTGCAATCGATAGCCACTGCTGGCTGACTTATCGGAACCATGGCGTGAACATCGTATAGCAATCGATAGTGGCGATTGTTTATAATTAGCCATTTTTCTACGAAACGAAACAAACGATTAAATAATGCAGTTTTCTGCGCAATAAACGCCAAATACAACAAACAGACTGCAAGCCGCGAAAAGTGCTGTGATTAAAGTAGCGAGAAACGCCAGTCCCAAGTAGCTCTTGACCCAAACAAAGTGCCAAAACAAAGGGACCAGGGAACCCGAACCTGAACCCAAACTAAACAATCCCAATCCTAAGACTCGGGCCGTGACCTGCCGAAGAGCCAGCGAGAACAGCAATAAGCATGGGCAACGCCAGCTCCACCGTGCACATGCAACGCGAGCGCCACAAGTCGACCGACTTGTCCACTCCGAGCTCTCCCGCACATTTCCGCGAATCGGTTGCTGCGGCAGCGGGAGGGGGAGGAGGAGTGGCACAGGGAGGAAGTGCTGGCGCAGCAGCTTTGGGCGGGGCAGCGGGCGGCGGAGGGGGCGGAGGCGGGGGCCAAGCTTTCTCGTTCGACAAAAAACATACGGCAGTCTTGAACGAGGGCTCGTCGCAAGAAGACGACGACCCGTACTACACGGGAACTGGAACTGGATCATCCACTAGACGAGGCACCGCCGACGACTCGACGACATCAGCTGTTCCGCGAGAACACTCCACCAGCATGGACAACACCGAGGAGGAGGAGGCGGGAACGGAGCCTCTGGCGGGATCTCAGCTGATTGGCGACGAGGACGACATCCGCAAGACGGCCCTGCCCACCGTTCTCCGGTGGGATGGCGGCGGCAAGAACGTAACCATCTCGGGCACCTTCTCCAACTGGAAGCCCATCACCATGGTGC